TTCATCAAGATAAAAAGCTTTTGCACAGCAAAGGAAACAGTCAACAAAACCAAAAGACAACCAACAGAATGGGAGAAGATATTTGCAAATGACATATTGGATAAAGGGCTAGTGTCCAAAATCTATAAAGAACTTACCAAATTCAACACCCAAAGAACAAAGAATCCAATCAAGAAATGGGCAGAAGACACGGACAGACATTTCTGAAAAGAAGACATCCGAATGGCCAGCAGACACATGAAAAAGTACTCAACATTACTCAGCATCAGGGAAATCCAAATCAAAACCTCAATGAGATGCCACCTCACACCAGTCAGAATGCCTAAAATTAACAAGTCAGGAAATGACAGATGTTGGCGGGGATGCGGAGAAAGGGGAACCCTCCTACACCGTGGGAGGGAATGCAAGCTGGTGCAGCCACTCTGGAAAACAGTATGGAGGTTCCTCAAAAAGTTGAAAATAGAGCTACCCTATGACCCAGCAATTGCATTACTGGGTATTTACCCCAAAGATACAAATGTAGTGATCCGAAGGGCCATGTGCACCCTGATGTTTATAGCAGCAATGTCCACAATAGCCAAACTATGGAAAGAGCCTAGATGTCCATCAACAGATGAATGGACAAAGAAGATGTGGTGTATATATATATATATACAGTGGAATATTATGCAGCCATCAAAAAATGAAATCTTGCCATTTGCAACGATGTGGATGGAACTAGAAGGTATTATGCTAAGCAAAACAAGTCAATCAGAGAAAGACAATCATCGTATGATCCTACTGATATGAGGAATTTGAGAAACAAGACAGAGGATCATAGGGGAACGGAGGGAAAAATGAAACAAGATGAAACCAGAGAGGGAGACAAACCATAAGAGACTCTTAATCTCAGGAAACAAACTGAGGGTTGCTGGAGTGGAGGCGGGTGGGAAGGATAGGGTGGCTGGGTGATGGACATTGGGGAGGGTATGTGCTAGGGTGAGTACTGTGAATTGTGTAAGACTGATGAATCACAGACCTGTACCCCTGAAACAAATAATACATTATATGTTAAAAATATATATAT